TTAAGAGCAGCATTTTTGCGAAAAAATGCATTGAGTTTTAACTTTGTGGACATTACTGTAACAGGGGAATATACTATGTAAAAAGTATAGAGAGGCAATATACAAACACTTTTAATTACATGAGATCAGGACATATTTATGTTCATATATATAGTATGGCGATATCGCTCCGTGATCCTTCAAAATATTTATAAGTCTAGATCGATTTCCATAATGTGTTTATAGTATCTGTCGCTTCTATACATTGGTCAAATTGTGCGTTTACATTTAGATAATGCTCCAAGTAGATCTTATTCACCATATCAAAGAATTGCCTCACAAAAGCTGTCCTTCGTTTAGCATCCATATATGGTAATCTTACCTTATTTGGAAGTACGATAGGAATGGTTTTTGTGCTTTGTGTTTTTTTGTTTTGTTTTTTTGAATGTTTTTTAAGCGCTTAATCGTCTGAAACTTGCAGATATTATAGCGAAAACACTTTTCAACAATCGGCCATTTTGTTTGTTTCCATATATGGCATGGATTCGCTAAAGGAAGCCMAAAACTAAAAAGCACAGGGAACCCGCACGAATGACATACAATTCTTTGATATGATATCCGACATTAGCCAAATTAGCCACGTGGTCTTCCAGGCACTAAAAGACATCATTTTTTTTTCTTTAAACGTGCTCGTACATATATATTTACCAAGTGAATAAATCCCTTCAATTTAACTGGTTTGGTAAAAACCTATTGTACGCTTGACCAAGACTGTCTTTCAAAAAGGYAAATCATCTAATATCGGTGCTAATATACTGAAACCCTTTTGACGTATTTTCTCTTGTATTGAGTGGCTTAATTATTTCACAAAAAAGTCAATTGTCAAGKAAGAAAGCGRYCRTCCGCTTTCAATTCGRAAGAGGCACGCGGTGACTAATTATGTTGTAGTATTATAAATGTATAAATGTGCTCAGTTTGTACGACAGGGTCCAGGGACTACACTGGTCTTATCTTCATTTCAGCTCTCTTAGCGGAATAGTACCTGCTTC